ATCCATCAAGTGCAGAGTCTGCAAAATATCTCAAGTGCTGATCTTAGGAGCAGTTTAGGAAGGGTCAGAATCTTGCATCCTCCAGCGGCGTGACTCCTAAACCATAATTTCTAATCCTGTAGCTAATGTTAGTCCTACAAAGGCAATCTGGTCCCCAGGCAAGAAGGAGGTCTGCCCTGGGGAAAGGCCACTGTCGTCTTTGCCTCAAACCACAAACTATAAACTAAGTTTCTCTCAAAGTTGTTTCAGCCTATGCCCAGGAATGAACAAGGACAGTCTGGAGTTTAGAAGCAAGATGGAGTCAGTTAAGTTAGATCTTTCTCACTGTCTCAGTCACAATCTTGCAAAGGTGGTTTCACCATGACACCATAATTTTATCATTTTCTTCCCACCTCATAATACATTTCCTCTCAGTTACATATGCTGCCTCTAGTTCACTGAGCTAGAGATCCCTAGAGTTTGACGTTATACTGTCCCCATTTGTTTCACTCTCATAGAGGAATCTTCTCTAATCACATGACTCTAACATCTATATGTAGATGACTTTGCATTTATATCTTTACCCAGATGGGTGCCTTGAACTCCAGATTCATAAATCCCATGGTCTCCTTGATACCTCCAGGTTGTTGTCTCATACATTTCTTAAGGTAACAAATCCAAATTTGATTCCTGACTTTCCTCCACAAGAGCCCTGTTTTTTCTCATCTTAAGGATACCACAGCTCACCCCATTTCTCAAACTCAGGGGAATACATTTAATTCTTCTTTTCAACTAATTTCTCATATTGTGTATATTTTGAAGAATTATCAGATTTATCCTGAAAATATAAAGGATAGGTAATCAATGATTCCAGTTTTTTATTGCTGGCACTTTAATCAAAGTATTTTTTTATTATTGTCTGAACTAAATCAATAACCTTCTGATTGATTTCTCTGATTCTGCTATTGCCTCTACATCAATCAATTGGTTCATAGCATGTTAGTCTAAAAGATTCTGTGATTAAAACATGCCAATGGCTTTTTCTATCATTAAAATAAAATCCAGGCTTATTTATATGCTTTCAAGGTCTTACTTCATCTGACCCCTGAATAGTTCCATACCATTTTGATTAACACCTGCCAGAATGGTTGCTATTCTCCAAACACATCTTTCCTTCTGATGCTTAAGCGTCTCAAACTCATTCTGCCTTTTCAGATTTGGGAGTCTCAAGACCCTCTGCCAGATATTCTCCTAACATATTTCCTGCAGTGGCAGACCCTCGTCCTTCAGAATACAGCTAAAATATCACCTTGTCAGGTGATATCACATTCACACATTTTATTCTATTTATTATGCAACAATAATTATTATCATTTTGCATCTTTTTTTTTTCATTCTTTCACTTTTTGTTGCCTGTCTCCCCTATTAGAATCTAAACAGTATCCCAACAAAAAAATGTGTCTTGTTCTCAGCTCTATGCTGAGACCTAGGAGTATATCGGATTACTAAGATGTGTCTAATAAATATTTATTTTTCAACTATATAAATGAATTGTTTTATTATTTCTCTGTACAAAAAAAATCACCAAAGAAGGTTTAGCAGTCCTGCATGTTAATCCCTGTTCCAATAATGTCTGGCTTTTCTCTCATAAATGTGTGTAAATCTCTTTACTTCTCTGTGCCCCAATTTTCCTGAGGGATTGGGCTAAATCACATCTAAGCTCCTTTCCTACGATTCTATTTCAATGAGCAAAGGAGTCTATAAACTATAGTATTAAATTTATTATATATTTCATTTTACATCTTTCCCTTAGATTAAGATATAGCAAGGAATCTCATCACCTTGGAAAGTTTGAGGAAATTCACACCTAGATAAGACAGAAATGCAATGCTTGTATCTTTCGTTCTCTGTTTTTATTTTAGAACAGCTCTTTCCATTTCTGCAGTTTCCTAGATATGTTGATGTTTAAAATCATCCCTGCCGTTATAATTCTGACGTTATTTTTATCTTTTTATTCTATAAAATCTTCTTTATAGTCTCATCCACCATGGGCCTCCAACTCAACAATTTCAAGGAGTATTTCAATAATTTAGCTTACAAATGTAAACAGGAACTTACTTTAATTGTCTCCACAAGAAGACGCTGAAATAGACAAGGTTGTGAAAACACCTACCAGAGTGAAACCTTTTCTATGCAGGGAACTTCTAGCCCTCCAGCAAGGACTCCACTCAGTTGCAAAGCTAAATGTTTCCTTCTCCTTATAGCATTTGTTTTTTAATCTATGTCTGTGTTAAAAGCCTTAGAAAAAAAAAAAAAAAAAAAGGATGGTATTAGGTTTTTTCAAGTTTGCACAACAAAAATGTCCTTTGCCCTTTTTGCACCAGGTTCATTTTTAGTGAATGCACTGCTGGATGGGCTAAGCCTGAGGAAAAGCAATCAAGAATGTTATGATGTCGCTTTAATACAAATTTCTGATTTGGCAGAGCCCTTTTACAACCATTTCTTATTAAAAGTTTGAGAATCAAGAAGCCTTTTCACAGCAAAATCTTTGGGCCAACTATGATTCACTAGCAATAAGCACTTCACATCATGTCTGCAATCATTATCAAGAGACTTGATTTGTACACATGAATGGAAGCTTCTTTTGGTTTTCCAGTTGCCAATTCAGTCATCTCCACTCCCAGATGTTAATCACCATCATATAGCATCAGATTAAGAAATGGAAGAAAAAATATCCTCATTTACTGTCTGAAGAGGAGTATATGTATATCCTACAGAGATAAAAATTGCATACTAATAAAGTAGAAGACATTTTATTTTATATTTATATCCTGCTTCTAAATTATATGAATTTCCTTTGGGATACTTGACTTATGTTTTCTTAAAAAGTGTATTACGATCACAATTCATTTTTTACTTCATAGGCTGTTTAACCTTAAAAAATATTCTCACACAAATATTAAATACTCTTTTAACAAAAGAAATGATGAGTTGTAGACACAATTACGTATTGATTTATTCTTCCAGTGTGAAGTCCTGGGTTTTTGGTCATAGTTTTTTGTGAACCTTTTCACATTCTGCTCTAATTATACATCCGTACTCACATGCAGTTATTTTGTTTTATTTTCAGTGATATCCTGAGATATATAATGTATAAGCAAATATACATGGTATAAAAAAACTTATATAGATACATTGTATTTCTTCTACTTAATATTTTTTACTTACATTCTTGCCGATCATTTACAATCCAAATATTTTTTAAATAGGCATATTTCTTATGATGAATGTGCCATAATCTTTTATCATCAGCCCCCTATTTATAGACATTTAAATGTCTATATACATTTTGCAATTGCAAACTTTTCCCTAGATAGTAATGCACCTGTATTTTTTTTATTTAGGCTTTTTAAAAGTTTTGTTTTCCATAGGTACAGGGCTGAACTTCTAGTTTTAAAAATAATATACTTATTTTAATATTAATAGATTACCCCACATTTTTTCTGAATGAATTTTAACAGTAATTGTCAGTAGCCTGAGCTTACTTATTGCACCTAAGATTACCATTCTTGGTTGAAGGCAAATAACTCATTTATATTTTAATTTACAATTAATAATGTCAAATTAACTTATTTTTATCAAAATGGTTGATAGCTATATAGTTCTGTATACTTCTAGCTGAACAGGACACACTTTTATGTTTGATAATTTTTAATGATAAATGTTCTTAACATCATATTCCTACTTACAGAATGTGACCTAGTTGAATGTGTATAAAAAACAAAACACGCAATTTTCTTACTAGCAATAACACAGTTACTAGTATTGTTTTATCAAAAATACTAATCAGTATATATGTAAATAAAATAATTTTAATATTTTAATGATCCCTTGAAACTTAAATTGTGTTTATGATATATAAGAAAACAATGTATCCTAAGAGAAGTTTTCTTTAGAAATTTATTATAAAATATTTAAGATCTATAGAGTCGTGTAAAACTATTTCCAGGAATATGTGTGTATGCACCATTCAGTATACAAATAAATAAATAAATAACACCTTACCAAGTCAGTTGAAGTCGTGTGTGTACTCTGTATCAATTGTGTAAATTCCTTTCAATAGAGATAACCAGTATCTTTAAATTATTTTTTCTTATTCTCATGCAGTTCTGAATATTTTGTAACATATATTATTAAATATTTAATCAAATAATATATAGTGTTGCATTCTTTACATGTTTTTAACTTTACAGATAAAATATTAATACTCTATGTTAGGAGTCCCCAGCACCCAGGCTGCAGAGTTGTACTCGCCCATGGATTGTTAAGAACTAGGCCTCACAACAGGAGGTGAGTGGTAGGTGAGCGAGCATTACAGCCTGAGCACCACCTCCTGTCAGGTCAGCTGTGGCATCGGATTCTTATAGGAACTCAAACCCTATTGTGAACTACATGTGGAGGGAATTAGATTGCTTACTCCTTATGAGAATCTAATGCCTGATGATCTGAGGTGGAATAGTTTCACCCCAAAACCACCCCCACAACATCTGTGGAAAAAATATCTTTCATGAAACTGGTCTCTGGTGCCAAAAACATTGGGGACTGCTGTTTTATGTGTTCTTTTGGAAATAGTTTCTATTTCTCAACACCAGGTTTAAGATATTCACCAATGTAATCTAGTTTATATATACAGCATTTGTCTATATGTAGTATTTTATTCTATGGATACACCCATAATTTATTTACCCATTTTGTTTTTGATTGACATAGAATTTGTTTCCAATATATTGCTTTAGTAAACTATATTGTTACCCATGTCTTAAACATTCTTTATTTATTCTTGCAAATGCATGAGAATTCCTTTGCATTATAACAAGAGGTACAGTGACTAGATGGTAGATTATAAATATCCACTCTACTATATATTGCAAAATATTTTCATAAGTGCAATTGTTATTTTCAAAATAATATGTTAACATCTTGGAAATGTATTCTATCATAAAAAAATTAAAACTGCTTTTCAGTCGGGCGCTGAGTGGTTTTTCGGATCATGTCTGGTGGCTCCGTGGATTATAACAGAGAACATGGCGGCCCAGAGGGAATGGACCCCGATGGTGTCATCGAGAGCAACTGGAATGAGATTGTTGATAACTTTGACGATATGAATTTAAAGGAGTCTCTTTTTCGTGGCATCTATGCTTACGGTTTTGAGAAGCCTTCCGCTATTCAGCAGAGAGCTATTATTCCCTGTATTAAAGGGTATGATGTGATTGCTCAAGCTCATTCAGGTACTGGCAAGACAGCCACATTTGCTATTTCCATCCTGCAACAGTTGGAGATTGAATTCAAGGAGACCCAAGCACTAGTATTGGCCCCCACCAGAGAACTGGCTCAACAGATCCAAAAGGTAATTCTGGCACTTGGAGACTATATGGGAGCAACTTGTCATGCCTGCATTGGTGGAACAAATGTTCGAAATGAAATGCAAAAACTGCAGGCCGAAGAACCACATATTGTTGTTGGTACACCTGGGAGAGTTTTTGATATGTTAAACAGAAGATATCTTTCTCCAAAATGGATCAAAATGTTTGTTTTGGATGAAGCAGATGAAATGTTGAGCCGTGGGTTTAAGGATCAAATCTATGAGATTTTTCAAAAACTAAACGCAAGTATTCAGGGTGTGTTGCTTTCTGCCACAATGCCAACTGATGTGTTGGAAGTGACCAAAAAATTCATGAGAGATCCAATTCGAATTCTGGTGAAAAAGGAAGAATTGACCCTTGAAGGAATCAAACAGTTTTATATTAATGTTGAGAGAGAGGAATGGAAGTTGGATACACTTTGTGACTTGTACGAGACACTGACCATTACGCAAGCTGTAATTTTTCTCAATACAAGGCGCAAGGTGGACTGACTGACTGAGAAAATGCATGCCAGAGACTTCACAGTTTCTGCTCTGCATGGTGACATGGACCAGAAGGAGAGAGATGTTATCATGAGGGAATTCCGGTCAGGGTCAAGTCGTGTTCTGATCACTACTGACTTATTGGCTCGCGGGATTGATGTGCAACAAGTGTCTTTGGTTATAAATTATGATCTACCTACTAATCGTGAAAACTATATTCACAGAATTGGCAGAGGGGGTCGATTTGGGAGGAAAGGTGTGGCTATAAACTTTGTTACTGAAGAAGACAAGAGGATTCTTCGTGACATTGAGACTTTCTACAATACTACAGTGGAGGAGATGCCCATGAATGTGGCTGACCTTATTTAATTCCTGGGATGAGAGTTTTGGATGCAGTGCTCGCTGTTGCTGAATAGGCGATCACAACGTGCATTGTGCTTCTTTCTTTGGGAATATTTGAATCTTGTCTCAATGCTCATAACGGATCAGAAATACAGATTTTGATAGCAAAGCGACATTAGTCGTGAGCTCTTGTAAGGAAAGTCATTGGCTTTTTCCTCTTTAGAGTTAGACTGTTGGGGTGGGTATAAAAGATGGGGTCTGTAAAATCTTTCTTTCTTAGAAATTTATTTCCTAGTCCTGTAGAAATGGTTGTATTAGATGTTCTCTATCATTTAATAATATACTTGTGGACTAAAAGATATAAGTGCTGTATAAAATCAGCCAATTATGTTAAACTAGCATATCTGCCTTTATTGTGTTTGTCATTAGCCTGAGTAGAAAGGCCTTTAAAATTTTTTAGAAAGCATTTGAATGCATTTTGTTTGGTATTGTATTTATTCAATAAAGTATTTAATTAGTGCTAAGTGTGAACTGGACCCTGTTGCTAAGCCCCAGCAAGCAATCATCCTAGGTAGGGTTTAATCCCCAGTAAAATTGCCATATTGCACATGTCTTAATGAAGTTTGAATGTTAAATAAATTGTATATTCACTTTAAAAAAAAAATTAAAACTATTTTTATTTTAAAATTTTGAATTTCATTATGCATTGTATTTATAAATTACCTTTTTGCAGTTACTAACATTTGAATATTTAAATCTCCGTGAATAATAATTATTTTTCTCTGTTCTAAATTTCATTGTATTTTAATGCTACTTTCACAGTTTTATTTGTATACTTCATCCCTTTTATGAATAGTGTTTATAAGTAATTTTATGGATTTCTGTTATGATTATAAATAGGATTTTTAAAGTAATTACATTTCTAGCTAACTATGGAATGTATATGTCACTCTTTTTTCAGTAAGTTAATCAAATCCTCTAATCTTAGTAGTTTTTATGTGAGTCGTGCTGGTTTTCATAGTACCTTATTTTATTATTTCCAATGATGTTGGTCTTGCTTAATATTTAAAATAATTTAGTTAGACATATAGGCAGTGATTGAAATTTTTCAGCACAACAAACATATGAATAAATACTTTAACGAAGAAACATTTCATTTGCTGTAATAAATATTTACTTTAGAAAGCATATTTTTTTCTCAATTCAATTATGGGAAACCTTTATTTTATAAAGTAAGATTTGTTTTATCTTAAATATAACAAATTCACATTTCAAAAAAGTAAAGGATAAATATTGCCACTCAATTAAAGTGACCTGTGCTACTGTTCTAGATGCCCTCAAAGAAAGATTAATTTAAGGTAAAATGTGTTTATGAGATCTAAATAGATGTGTTGAGAAATCACATCTGAGTAAGCTGGAGAGACACTTTTGGAACAAGAGAGCATTGAAGTTTAGGTGGAAAACGAAGTGTTGAATTCCAATCTGAATTCTGATTTTGAAATTTGGTGGCTATGTGAAATTGGAGAGTCAATTATTCTCTGTGATTCAAAGATCAGTTGTCTGTAAAATGAGGACTTTCAGTTACATAAAGCTGAACTAGCTTAATTATTGCTACTTCTGTATATGAGACAGAGCATAAGTGTAAAGCATGCAGAGTGAGATATATGAAATTGTTTCTTCTGGATGCAGTAACATTCAATGAGCAGAGAAGTGTGAGCGATTATTAGAGCAAATTCTGGGAGGAATCATTAAAATCTGAGTTCTGTGCTGTTGATTGTATCTAATGGTGGGGTGTTTAGTGTAACAGTCTGTTTTCAATCCATACTAAGAAAAATTATGAAGTGAGCCATGAACTTCAACAACACATTCTTTTTCTGTTTTAGAGCATAACAAATGAACAAAAAAACCATTTCAAAACAATGAACTTTAAAAAAATTATTGTTAAAGTTCATGAACTTATATTTTTTGTCTTAATTTCTGACTTTCTTATACGTGGTTAAATATAACTCTAACACACTTAGCTTTCCCAGTTCTTGGTTGGCACATTATAAAAGAGCAATTGGCCCACAGCAGAAAGAATTTGTAGAATAAGGGACAATGAAGTACTCATGAAGTATCATGTGCTGACTATTTAACCCTGAAGAAACAGATGGAAAGACATACTTTATACTATATTACTACTTTATAGTACTATAGACATACTTTATAATATAGTATAAATGTGTACATTTATATATGTGAGTGCTTATGTATATGCAAAAGCAGTGTGTGTGTATATATAGACAGTATATGCATATATAAAAACAGCATATACATATATACACTATATATGTATGTATATAAAAGTGTGGAGCACACGCGCACACACACACACACACAGACACACACATATGTCTCTGTTTAGGACCAGCTGGTTTAACAGCCATATGTAACTTAATGTGTACAGAATATTGCTCTCTAAAACAGATATAACATATGACCTAGCCTGCAATATAAACTACTCTTTGGCAAGTAAACAAAAAATGAGCATTTCCTAGGGAAATAAAAACAACACATTTGATTTTTCTGTTTTCATTCTTGTCAAGCACTACATTTGCTTTCACATTTCATAGTCAGGCAAAGCAGAATAATTAACATCACATATTTATTCTTACTTCATTAGTGACATTTACACCTGTGCTATTACAAAAATGTGCTAATGTTTTATTTATGATTTCTTTATAGCTTCCTTATTGCCATTCACGTCATTCACATTTAACAAAGACAGAAACTAATAAAAGCCAGGTATTGGGTATTATTTATTTTGTCCCTGGCATGATAACACCTTTAATGAAAAAAGAAATAAAAACTTAGGTGGCAGTAATTACCTCAGTCACATTTACCTTGCTACGCAGATGGAGTATAATGCACTAAGTTTCTAGGCTGTGTCCTTCATGTATTCACATCACAGTGAAAAATACACAGAGCTGTCACTAAGCATAAGTCAAGCTGAACAAATGCTTTTTTAATTTGAACTAGAAAATACAGTCAACCTACTGTACTTGATCTTATATGGAAGGGCATTACAAAGATCTATACAAGGTTAAAACACTTAAAATAGTGAAATTGAGATGTACAGGGTGGGGGGACGAGATACTTAAAGTGAAGCAATATAACAATACATCAATACATCAATTAACAGAAATACTTTGCTATGAGCAAACATTATAGAAAAGGAATATTACAGAAGACGTAGAAGTTGAATGCAGATATGTGTAATATGTGTAATATGTGTAAAAAAGAGGCTATAGTAAGTCCTAAAGAGATTAATGATTTAGATTAAGAGACAAAGCTGAAATAGTGGAATGGTTATTAAAATCTTGTAGTTAAAAATCAGGATGGCAGATTACTACAATCATTAATCTGTTAAATCTGATTGAGGGCAGTCACAAAAAATGGCAAGTGCTTTTAACATATGGGCCTATCCTGTTTGTGACAACTATCCATAAATCAATGATGCATGAACAAAAGTTTTATGGAGGGCTAAATAAAACTGGAGTGTTTAAATTGGAGTGGTTTAAAAATTCTATCATAATTTTAGGACACGTTTAATATATTATGCTCAAATATGTTCTTCAAAAAATGTGTTGCTTGCAAAGGCAAAATGAACACATTTAATTTAAATTTTTCATTTTCTATCAAATTGTTTCCTTAAACTTAGAATGTGAAAAAAAATACACATTGACTATGATATAATATGCCCATTCACTAAATGTATTACTAATACAGAGAAGGTAGTTTGGTGGATATTCTATATATATATCATCATGTAATCATTGCCTTAAGATAGATATTATTATTTCCATATAATAGGTTAGGAACCAGGGGCCAGTTGAGTTGATTAATACATGCAATGAAGCTGTTTTATTCAGACATTCTGACTTCAACCTCATTGCTTTTTGAATTACCCCAGAAATTCTTATATTTTAGGCTTATCTCCAGGTACCTCACAGTATGACTGTATTTAGTGAGAAGGCCTTTCATGGGGTGATTAAGTTAAAATGAGGCCATTTATGGATGCTCGTCCATTCTGACTAGTGCCCTTTAGAGGAGGAAATTTGGGCAGAGAGTCATCAAGGATGCACACACACAGAGGGAAGACCATGTGTGGACATATCCAAAAGCCATCTGGAAGCCCAGAAGAGAGGCATCAGAATAAAACTGCCTTGATCTTGGACTTCTAGCCTCCAGTAACTAAGTATATGTTAAGTATATATCATATATATATATACACACACACACACATATATAGCTTAAGACATTCATACTGTTGTATTTTGTCACGGCAGCCCTAGAGAACTAATACACCTTCTGATCAAGGAAGTAGAAAAGATATTGTTAAATAGTAAAGTAGATAATTATACTTAGATAATTTCCATTATATAAATGTATGCACACACATAATGGAATATATGTACATAATGAAATATATGTGAAATGTAACCAAGCATGTGTATATGTGTGTGTGTGTGTGTGTGTGTGTAAACAGTTTAAGCCTCCAGAATTTAAAAATGTTTTGTTATTTCCTATTTATTTGTCTCATTATATGGGTGATACTGGTTCAGATGAGCTGGTTATGTGGTCCCTGGACCAACAACCTCAGGTTAGTGAATGGAACTGGCACGTTTCTGTCTCCAGAAATTTTCCATACCCTACCCAGAGCCTCAACCTAGTGTTGAGGATGCCCTTGATCTGTTACTTTGTTTAATACAAAGACTGATGAAACTGAGCTTTCTGTTAATAACATAAAAATATGAAATAACATTATTGAGATACAGGTTAATACCAATTTAACTGTAGTGACAGATTTGCTTCTCTCTCATTATATTAGATAAGACTTTCAAGGCTTTCAAGATATAAAACAAATTGGGTTTGTAATCCCAGCGCTTTGGGAGGCTGTAGCTGGTGGATCACCTGAGGTCAGGAGTTCGAGACCAACGTGGCCAACGTGGTGAAACTCCGTCTCCACTAAAAATATAAAAATTAGTCAGGAGTGGTGGCAGGCACCTGTAATCACAGCTGTTCAGGAGACTGAGGTAGAAGAATTGCTTGAACCCGGGAGGCAGAGGTTGCAGTGAGCTGAGATCATGCCATTGCACTCCAGCCTGGGCGACAAGAGCAAAACTCTGTCTCGATAAATAAATAAATAAATAATTTATTGGCTATACTTTTTTCCAAAGAAAACTGTAGGGGTTGGAGTCAGAAGAGTATGAAAAGGGACCACCCCAACCACCACAAAACTTTGTTTAAAAACAAAAATCTCCCAGTAGGAAAGTAGGATGAGATCGATAAAAGAGAATATCCTTAATGATGAAGACAGAAAAGTTCCAAAAGAAAAAATACACAAATGACTTATGAACTCTAAAACCAGTTTAAAAGGTATTGAAAAGTCAGAATACAATTTTAAACACAAGCTGTTTAAGACAAAGATATTAGCTTTCAAACTAATTTTGAGATTTTAAATTTTACCATATTCCTTTGGAAACTTTAAATTCACAATGTAGTTAACATCTTTAAAACTCAGAGAAGTCATAGAAGCAGCTACCTGTTAGTTACCTAATTAATCAAATTTGTACAAATATTTTAGTGGAAATTCAGTCAGCATATCTAACTCAGAGTTATTCA